TAAATCTTATCACTTTTGTTGAAAGTTAACAGTCAACTTCATGTTAACTGCATCAAAGAGGGGGAAAAATATAAAGCAGCAAGTGATTGGAGATTTTTAGTTTGAAAACACATTGAATATTATTCACTTAAATCAGAATGTTAAGAGTGGTGCAGACATGCCAATCCTGTCTTCTTGTTGCTTTTCTTAGGCTGTTAAAAGCAAAATCTATGGGGATAGTCTCATAATTCTGTGTCTAACAAATGCTCATATGATTTCTAATTACCTTTCAAAATTCCTATAAGGCAATGAAAACAATTTAAATATTGTCTACCTTTCATATCAAAACATACATGCAAAGATACATTTATTTTCTCAGGCAGTAAAGTCATGTAAAAGCTGCCTAAATAAATTGTAAACAGTGGTAACATTTTGCAAAATTATCATCTTGATTCTACATGACTTGTGAGCTGTCAGCTGTGGCAAAGAATAAAAGACATATCAGTTACTTCCTTTAATCTTCTTAAGGAGATGAGCTTTTTAAAAATTGTTTTGTGTTAAAAGGCCGAGAACTACACTTCTGATTAAAATTTTCTTTTGTACACTTGAACTCCCCACTCTAGAATCGAAGCTCTGTTTTCTATTGTTTTATAGTGATTTGCTGCAACAAAACAGTTGCACTTACCTGCACTACTGTTTAGACAACTGTATGCCTCCTTTCAACTCTTCTACTATTTCATTGTATATAAGACGTCTTGGAGGCATTTACTTTATCGTAACATTTAAGAAGACAACTTACGATTTTGTCAGGGTTGGTGAAAAATCAATAATAAGACGTTCTCATAACATGCCTGCAGTGTGAAAGGTAAGTCTCGGGCAAAAGGTTATTTTCTTTGAATTAAGCAGAGAGTCTTGTAATATATACTAAAAGGGCTCTGTTCATGATGGGCAACAGTTTTGAAATACAGCCTCTAAGTTCTGTAAACATTTCACTGTTTTTCCCTAACAATCTGAATGGTCAATTGAATTCAGAATTGAGATATTGGATTATATTTTCTAAAATCACATCTGAAAATGTCATTTATCTGTCCAAAAAAGTATTCTAGAGCTGCTTCTTTTTTTCATGTCTTATTATTCCAAAAATTGTATTCTAACAGTGAAAGAACACAAAGTTTAACTGTACAGAAAATGGAGACTGTTCACAGATTAGAATTGAAATGAGACAAGAAAATAATTTATGTTAAAAAAAAAATCAAACATAAAGTAATCATTTGTAAACCTTTTTGGAACATGATTTTGCAATATGTGTGAAAACTCTTCCTTATATTTCTCAGGTAGAACCCGAAGAAAAATAGGGATCCATGTCATGAACTTTTACATAGCCTTGAATTAATATTTTTTAAAATACATGACTATTTCAGTGAGGGAAATTTGAAAAACTAGAAAAACCATAAAAGAGATGTAATATTTTTCTTATTCAGTGCTTGGTTACCAAAACAATGGTATTGTCTGGGAGCTAATACTGTTTACTGTTTTCAGACATTTGATGTTTTAGAATACATAGCATACATAAAAAACTTAGTAAATGAAGTAATCAAATAATATTTTTAATAAAATATATGCAGATAAATTCCCATGAAGTTAATTTATTAAAATAATTTGAATGGAAGAATGGAAGAATTTTCTAGATAAAATAACTGTCTCAAAATTGTGTTAATTGCCTTTTTAAGACTGTCAGTCTTGCCAACATTTCTCATTCAATGAGTTTTCAGATCCAGGTAAAATTCTCAGATAAAATGTGTTGGCAATTTTCTTGAGATCTCATTTTCAGGATATTTGGCAACGTTGGCATCAAATGCGTGTATCTACTTACCTCTTGGCTATTGATTGTAATCCTGTTCTCGCTGATATTACCTAACAATTTATACCCTTTGGTAAGTGTTTGCAGATCTTTGCAAAAGGTTTTGGTGGATTGATGCATCTTGAAGAGGATTCACCCCGTTTTGGCAGCCTTGTTAGATGTCTTGTCAAAAAAAGACCAGGGACGCAATCTTGAAAATGTTAAGTGCTAACACACTGTTTTTAAATTTAGAAGGATTTTGTTCCTCAGAATGTTTCAGTTAGGTCTTTGATTCCAGAGGAGAGAACCATATAATGGCTGGAGGTGGTGTAACACTGAGAGTTGCAGCACTTTCTTAATGGATTCCCAGTGAAATTCCTGAGTTATGTGCTATGTTCCCCACATAGTGAAAGTGCCAAGTTCTGCAAACCTTAGCAATTTAGCCAGTAAGCCATTAGGGAATACTAAATTAAATCTTGCCCTTTTGAAAGATTTCAGGGTTAATTTCAGATTCAAAATCATAGCTGCAGTTCTGATGTTAAGTAATAACACTTTCTTGAAAAAAGAGAAAGCCTAAGAAAGCTGATTATTTTCTTTCAAAATACAGCTAGATAAGAAGGAGGTTCAGTTTCCTGCTCTCTACACAATGCTAAGCAAAGATACCTTATGCATGAAGATCAGACATATTATAGCTCAGACCATTCAATTAGAAATTTTAGCCACCTCATTCACACAATGAAAACCATTAAGTACTGTCTTAGATGTCAACCCAGTGCACCAGAACATTTTTTAAAGGGATTGCTATTGAGTGTCCATAGCAGAAGTCACTCCACCCAGAAATGCCAGCCAGAAATGACAAATTTAGTCTTGAACTTTCGCCTCTAAAGGACTTGTGCTCGACTCTGCTCCAGAGAGATATACCTTCCTCTCCTTTGGATTCACAACTTCAACTTTTCTTAGTTGTAAGTGGCTAAACCCTTTCTATATAAGTTGAGTAGGTGTCCTTCCTTTATATCAAACTCAGCAGGAGAAAGGAATGTTTGAAAGGAAGAGTATCACAGCCAGAGTAAGATTGCACTTTCCTTCCCAACTGCCTGTTTCCTTATCCATGCAAAGGACTAGGGAAGAGGGTATTAGTTCAGGATTTAGGGGATTCAGGTTCAGTTCTAACCCATGACTGAGACAAGTCATGTTTGCATTCTTTTGCACTAAACAGAATTTTACATAACAATATTGAAGTCGTCACTGAAACAGGAGCTGCCACTGAAGCCTTTCCTCTGCCACTGTGTGCTCTAACCCATAATCAACAGAACAGACCACATTCGCTCTTTACCTTTCTCCTGCTCTGCCTCTATTAACTGCTTCCTTACAAAATCAACAGGATCAGTAGGTTGAAACTGTGAGTGTTTTTACCTTGAAATGGTCTGGTGCCTGTAGGTTACAGCCCTTTGCTGAGACCCTGGAGCTTAAATCCTCTCCAACAGAAGATACTATTGAGTTGACACTTTCAAATGTGTCTCTCATTCAGCTCTAATGCTTCAGCTGATGAATGGCCACACAGAAGAATGTTGTAATGTCTGCCACGTGTCCTTCTCTAGCAGTTGCCACTTTTTTTTGAGGAACTTGATTTGTTAGGTCATTTCAAAGGACACCTACAGGATTGATGACCTTATGCATGGAGAACTTGAGTGTGAATTCCAATAGGATCCAGGACTAAGCCAAGCACCAATGTGTTAGCAGAATTTCTACTGACTATTGCCAAATAACAAGCCTGTAATGTTTAAAGTGGAAAAACTGAGTGCTTTACTGCTCAGAGTGCCTTCAGCCCTGAATGCTGGAAGCTGAACAACAGAGTTTTAATTTAGGTTCCCAAAGAACTAGGTAGTGTGAGATGCTTAAATATTTTCTGGATCTAATCTCCAAACTCCGGGTTTGTATGAATCATGGCAATGTAACAGTTTAGAAATAAAGCAGGTTTTTGGCTTGTGAGATAAATTAGACAATTGTACATTGATTGATGATATACCACTAGTCACACAAAATCAAAAAATGATCAAGAGATATTTACAGTAATTCTAGATGCTCTGTCTTTTTTTTTTTTTTTTTTTTTTTTCCCCAGTTCATCTCCCTGGACTGCAGATTAGTTATTAAGAAAGCAAAATGCAAAGAGCTAGATTATACCTCAAATTTGCTTTGGTTGAGATCAGTTGTCAGAAGTGTGTCATAACATTGGCTCTGGGATGTGTTATTTAGTTAATTCATTTCTCCATTAGCTGTAAAATCTTTAAGTATGTGATATAAGTGGTTAATTCACAGACCCCAAAACTGAGACTTCTCTTCCTTACTTCCATATTTCATCCATACCCCAGTTCTCACATTGAGGAGACACTAATTGTTCAGCGCACTACTGGCAGCTGAGAATTCAGTCAGATTGAGGCAATAAGGGAAATTTATTTTATTTTTCAAGTTTCTTGCACTGTAAAATGGAAAAAGGGCTTTGAGGATCTAGCTTTTGATGAAAACATGCTGATAAACTGTTTTTCTGATAAAGTGATCTTCATAAAGATCAATGAAACTGAATATATTTTGCAAATATATACTCCACAAATGATAGTCAGTAGTGAAAAAAGTGTTTAGATATAGAATATATTAAAAATAATGCAATAGATATTAAGTTTCAGTAAGCAGTCTACATTTTAACATTATTTAAACATTGATTTAGGTAAAATTCCTATTACTAAGGCTTCTCGTTTTGTTGAGGAACAGATGTTTAAATCATATAGAAATGAAATTATTTTGAAATATGGGCAAAAAGATTTTACCGAATATCTAATATACATGTTATATTCAGATGATATCTTGTAAGGCTAACCTATGTTACAAGAACATCTGTTTGAAATATTTTTATGTATCATATACATCCATAGTCAGTAGCTGCCAGATAAATAATTGTTAGAGACAAGGTGATTTTTTCACTGAGTCATCACAGCTTGATAAGTCATTTTAATTATTATGTGATGCATATTTAAAAGACAGCAATTTGTTATGAGCTCCAGGCTGACACAAAACAAACTTACAGGACCGACAAGGCTGTGCCAATAGAGTGAATCTGCTTCTAGACATTGCAGCTAGACATTTCTTACAGATATTTTTTTTCTTCTTCCTCTATTTCCCTCTGTAGAGGTCCTTCTGTAGTGCCATGGTAGAGGAGCTAAGGATGTCTCTGAAGTGTCAGCGTCGGTTAAAACACAAGCCACAGGCCCCTGTTATTGTGAAAACAGAAGAAGTTATCAACATGCACACGTTTAACGACAGAAGGTTGCCGGGTAAAGAAACCATGGCATAGAGCTGGGAAGCCAAATACCCCAAGCACAAACTGTCGTCTTTTTCCAAACAACCTTGCGAGAATGTTTCCTGTGGAAATATGCAACCTGTGCAAAATAAAATGAGTTACCTCATGCCGCTGTGTCTATGAACTAGAGACTCCGTGATCTCAGCAGTTGCAATGGCCAGACTCGAATCACAAGCATCATGGATCAACCAAGTTATGCGGGGTTACACTGTTCGTCATGGGTTTTCACCATTCTGAATGAATGAAAGTTCCATGTGAGTTTTGTGGCTGGTTTCAAATGCAGTCTCAGTGAGAAATTACAGGTTCCTTTTGAAGTTCATCGGTTGCTAGGAGGTGGAGAATAAATGTCCAAGATGATACTAACTATGGAAGGAGTCTAGTAAAAGTAATAGCTCAGAACTGTAGTGGAACAAGAAACCGTATGTTCTTCTGAACGTCCAAGCATAGAAGAGTTGGTAACTGCTGGTAGACTGAAACTACCATCTGGACAGGCAATATGAGCTCTCCGGATGGAAGAAACGTTAAAGTGAAGAAACATGAATCCCATGAATAGAAGGATAAATATGAGGAAGTTCACCCGCTTTTTGGACTGTCTGTGTCACTGAACTAAGTAAATAAATAAAAATTGAAAAAAACCATCAGTAACTTAAATTTACCTGGGCTGGAACTTTGATCTAAAAAAACCACCACCAACAAAAAATCCATAATTTTGACCCAATTTTTAGATGAATGAAAGTTTCCTTAGTACAAAGGAATGTATCTTACAACCTTTAGATATAAGCAATTACTTTTTTTCTTTAATTGTGAAAAGAGGGAGGGGGGTGGGAAGCAGTGTATTTCACACATAGAGGGCTTGCATTTTAGCCTGAAAGGGTTTTGAAACCCTTGTTCCTGCTACTAATTGAACTCAATGGAGCCTGTGCAATTCTCGCTAATATTGGAAGTGGGATGGGTCACCTAAAAGAAGTGAATGTGGAGAACTTCAAGGAGGACTGCATTTTTCAATACAGTCACAGTACTAAATGAACAAAATTCTTGAGCAGTTTTTTTTTTTTTTCAAAAAAAAAAAATGTTCAGGTTTATTTGTGGAAATGCAAGATTTCTATGAAAATAGTTTTTGTATGGAAATTTTTGTAATACTTTTTATCAACAAAATAAGAACATGTGTTTCTGTCAGGGGTGTGATGCCAAGCATGAATGGTAGTGCGTGTGCACCACCAACGTTTGGTGAAAACTATTTTTATCAAGAAAAAGGAATCTTAGAAGAGACATATTTTCAAGTTAGATAATATAAAAAATAGGTGCACTACCACCACTGCTTACCATGCTACACCCCTGGTTTCCACTAGGCTGATAACATGCTGTCATGAACAATTGTGTGTAAATGGTAAAAGACACAGACCTCTTGACCACATTGTGATAACAGTTAAAGTGCACTCAGTTTGCTGTTTGAATCCAATGCACAAAATTAAAAAAAAAAAAAAAAGCATTAAAATTATGTCAGTTTTAGTTGTTTTGTTTTTGTTGTGTGATTTGAGCAGCATATGCACAGTACTTTGTGTCAGTACTGGTACTTAGCCTCAGCAAAATGCCCTGCCCTGCTGATTCTTGCCATTAAATGCGTGGCCAGAGAGTTTGCAGGGATTTCTGAGAGAAGTCAGTACAGCACATTGTGATAAGTTTTTGCAGGATCTGGCTTCAAAGCTAATTACATGTCCTACCTGTGGTGAGTTCCTGGATATAACATTTTGAAATACTGCCCTACAGATGCTGAATCTTGCACCTCCATCTACTGTAAATTTATTTGTATCTCAACAAAAAATGTATAGAATGGGCTATGTAGGAACGTTAAGTCAACAGAAAAAGATTATGAAGATGGTCTTTCCATGGAAAATAATTAATTTGATTAATTTAAAAAAAAAACTTTTAAATTATCATAGATAATCAGTCATTGATGAGTAATGAGATCATTTGTTTACTGGGGCTTAATTTAGTCTTATCATCACCTTTCTAGCACAGGAGTATAAGATACATCATTCAAATTGTAGAAATTATATCATGAAATCTGGGGGGAAGGGGGAGGTTTGTGTCTACTACCCGGTTCTCATAAATCTTCATAGAGACTGAGCTGGCCATTTCCATTGTGAACAGGGACTGAGAAAGCAAATTCTCTTGTATTTGTGAGAATTTCATCCCTTTTTATGTGATAACAAAGAACAGGTTATCTTTGAAATATAAAGAAGATAAAAACACCTTCAGCAAAGATTCTGAAAATGACTATACATACATAATACATATTTAAGTTAATTCTTTAAAATATGAAGTGGAAGAAAGTAATGATCATACAACACGATGAAAACTCCTAATTATGATGGTTTGGAATGGAAAAAGAATTGGCTATTGCATTTGATTGATGATTTACAATAAAAGTTGTAAAATCATGTAATAAAATGCTGTATTTTATTGAAACAAATATTTCTTTTCTCCATTAAGGGTGTTGAAATAAGCAGGATTCCATTCTCACCTTGATGCACATGACTAATTCTCATTAAGCTTTATGTGAGTCAGAGTAAGTGTGAACACAAAATATGTCCTAAATGTTTTATTGGGTCAAAGTCCACCAAGGAACAAAATCTTAACACAGAAGTAGTGTGGCTTAATTAAGGTTTCAGTGAGAATTTCAGCCTTCCATTATTAAGAGAAATATGCAAAGTAACTGGAGATTTGTATTTAAGATCAAGACTAGAAATGCATGGCTCCACAGATTCATAGTAGAATAATGACTTTTTAAAAAAAATCATACACTAATTCATAATGTTACTTTGTTGTGCATTAGTAATTATTTCTGTATTTTTCACAGAAAATTAAGATATTTAAGGAAAAAATTACTAACAAAGTGTTGACGCCTAAAGTAGCAGAAGATACTGGTAGTTTTGTACTCCAGAAAACTCAATGGTTCATTTTCCCTTCACTGTTGTGAAGGAAATCCTCAAGTCTGAAACTTACTCATTTTGAAAGGCCTCTGAATGCCTAGTCCCAAATTCCCAAGTTCTCATTTGGTATAAATTTCCATAGTGTCATTAAAATGAATGGAACTACACCAGGTAAAATCAAGCGAAAATTCAGATTCTGTACATAACTGCTTTATTTGGTTTCATATAATAACTCAATTAGTCTGTTGATTTCCTGGGACAGGATGATGGGTGCTTCTCTGACTGACCTCGAATGTCACTCTAGAGAAGCATCTTGAAGCAGTTGTAACTCAGTTATATGGTGCTACTTGGCAGATGACAATTAGAGGTAAAAACTGCACAGGATTTTTTTTTTTATTTTTTTTATTTTTTTTACTGTATCTGTTTCAAGGAAAATAGACATCTATAATATTTAAGGATTCTCAAGGCACACAGTTTAGATCTCCAGGTTGCCTCAGCATGGTTATACAGCAATAGGTAACTATGCAGATATTACAGAATAAATGACAAAAAACCCTTTAGCTTATTGATGTGTCATTTGTGAAGGACTGGTAATGAAAATTCTGAGCCAAATAGTTGGATGAAATCAAGAGATATGTGGTGCTTCATAGTAAAAGAGGATTTAGACCATTATAGACATCAGCAGGCCATTTCGTAGTTTTCTACTATTACATAAACAAAAATACAAATATATCCAGGGAGTATCTGGACAGTTTTGTACAAGATATTACTTTCTGAAGTTTCTATCTCAATTTTCAATTGAAGAATTCATTATAGGTCGAAAAGAATCTTTTCTTTTGTGTTTATATTACTTGAGGCTCTGCACATTAGTCTGTCCTAGTTTTATCCATAAAGTCTTCCAAAAAAAAAAAAAAGTAATGCTGTTTAGCTCCACTACACTAACTAGTTAATATTTCAGATTGGAAAAGTCATAATTTATGAAGAAAAAAAACCACCAAAATCCAAAGTCTCAAATAGAAGTAAGAAAAATGCCTTCACATTCTACGAAATTAAAATGTTTTCTGGGAAAAGGAGTCCCAAGCAGAGATAACAGCACTCAAAGAAGTAAAACATAATGCTATAAAATAATTTTTGTATGACTATTATATCAAGGATATTAGAAAAATATTTAAAGTTCTTTAGACACAACTTCACATAGTCTCCAAATGCATTAGAGTCTCCAAATACATCAGAGTTTCCAAATACATCAACAATCACAAAATATGATAACTGAAGTCCCAACTACTTTGAAATCGGTGTCAAAACTCCTACTTCAGAGAAAGCAAGATTTTGTCCAATACATCCCCAAATGCGTACTGATTCAATATTAAAGGCTTCAGACAAACGTGTACTGACACAATATTAAAGGCAAAATAAGATATCAGCCTGCGGTTAGGTGTACAGGAGCAATTGTGCTTTTTGTCATATTTTCAAAGATGTGTGGGAAAAGAAAGGGTTGCTGAGGTTGACTCATCTGACATCCAAGATCGTTGCATTCCAACCTCAAATATGTTAGTGTCCTGTTCCCTTCCAGTCTTGCCTCTCTGCCTTCCTACAAGCACTTCTGACACTTTCAAATTTATTTTCAAAACCCTTTTCTTCTGGCTTTCCTATAAAATGTAGTTCTAATTAAAAATAAAGTTACTCAAGCGCCTCATCTCCCCAGTTTGTATCCACCAAGATAAACACACTAGCTTCTCATGTGACTGTAATCTAATTGTCCTTCTTTTCATTTACTACCCCTCTCTGTTCCCTGCCTGTGTTATCTTCTCCTGTTGTTCTTGTACTTGCCTAGATTGTAAGCTCTTAGGGGGCAGGGAATCTGTCTTTGATTTGTTTTGTGTAGCACCATGAACTATGGAGCTATATAAATAATAAAAAAAGTAGATCTTCTTAAATGATGTTTGAAGTGATAGTGATCTGATTGACTGCCAGTCTAGTATTGTTTTAGCTCATTGCATGAAATCCTAATCATTACAGCAATAGAATAATCAAAAATTAAAAATAATAAAACCAACCCAAATGAGCTATCACACTGACTCATCTTACTGGAAATTT